TCACTTTATATGCTATAAAACACGAAGAAAGAATAATGCTATCTTGATAAAAATGTAACTCAATGTAGACGACCAAATTCTTATCGAAGTAAACCACATGTACGCACCCCCTGAAAAATGAAACGATACTAGTTCCCTAAAACAATGTATTTGAAACAGCTATTGAGAAAGTAGTGCGTTTGGGCGCAATCTATTAGAAATTATGTTACTTTAAAATATACCTGGTCTACGATCGTAGCCCACGCACCTAACGGAGGGGAAGATGTAAACATATTTGCAGTTGCGTCAAATTCATCTCATCGGTCCAAAAGTCTCGTAATTGTTACCTTTCATAGCCTATCAGAATCATCTTGTGCTATGTACAAAAAAGCACACTCCATATGCAGATGTTTGACATGAATCCTACCGAGAGATTTGATGTTGTCAAGACACATGGATTGTGCTTAAATTGCTTATTCCTCTCTCATTATGTATCTGAATCTAGGTCAAAGATAATTTGTTCCATTTGCAAACTTAAACGTCATACCTTATTACACATAAAAAAGTGAGTAAAAATTCCACAACCGCAATCGGAAACTGAAAAGGGGCAAGCAGACGCCAAGATAATGACTCCCGCTCAGTCGTTAATAACGGCTGTCAAGAAGAAAATAGTTTTCTTGTCTACCGCTAAATCGTTCATATTCAAGATTTATTTCAACGTAAATATCTTGTGGTTGCAATCATTGGCTCAGACTTTTACTATAATTTTATAAGCTCTGAAATAATATATAAGCTCGCATAACTCAAAAACGAGTAGCCTCAGAATGTTGAAATTTTGTATATAGGATTGCTATAACATGTAGATCTGCATCTCTCATTTTGGTTGCAATCGGCCATACCATATAAATATATATATATATCCACTTTGTTAATCGGCTCAGTGAGCTCAGTTTCTTTATTTTTATATGCTTGTAAATTGTGCATTTTTTGCTTTAAAAGTGACTGCATTATGTTGTTCTTATCTTCTGGTTAAGGTTTTTATGGCTTTAGTTAACCTGCATACAATAACTGTGGAATTATCAACAATTTAAAAGTTGTTTCAGTGCGGCTAAGCCTAATTTTTGTTTAACATGGCAGCCATATTTGTTTACATTTGAAACTTAGCAGAATAGTGGATTTGCTGCCAATCTAGAGAAACTAAGATTTGAACAACAAAGGAATGTCTTCTTTTATTATTGCGAATTAAATTATGCTTAATTCATTCTGGAATTATCATTTAATTTCTTTTATACTTCGTTTTAGATTTATTATAGTTTTGAATAAAGTGTGGTAATTTTCAGATGATATAATTTTGTGCATCTGAGTTATAAATGAATGGCTGCAACGCTGTTATGTGAACCTAGCGCCGAAGTGTCGCTATGGTAATTAAAAATAGTGAACTTTATAGGGTGCATTTATTCTATTGTGGTTTATGTGCTATCCACGAAGTAGATCGAATTCAAAATTCGTTAACTGTTAATTCAATATGTTTAAATGAAATGCAGGAAAATTGCGTATAATTTAAGATTCCGTACAAGGAAGTCATATGGTGTATACATCAGATTTTTTTCTATCGTGTTAAGGTTTAGAAAAACATCTTAATGCCTTTAGAGGGGACATAGAAGTAGTGTTTCGACAATCTGAAATTGTTAAGTCGATTTTCAAAGAATTCTCTGGAGAATGGTATTGACAGATGTCTACAGTTTTCAAACGGTTGCGAATGGAACAGCATGTGTTTCGTTCTTAGCACAGCGGACACTTCACTAGATAGGTTTTGATGAAGGAAAAGACTTTCCTCTAACCTCATCCGTAGTTTTAACTCACTTGTACATGGACAATTTTCTATCGGGCGCTCGCGACTTAACTCAAGTCAAAAATCTTCAAAGGGTCTTTCACTCAGTTGCTTGAACATGCTGGAATGAAACTAGACGATTGGTATAGTAATTTTTTCTTTCCAACATTCAACCGAAGAAAAGATTGTGAAATCTTTAGAAGTGCATTAAAACACCCACAATGATTCTTTCTCCTTCAAAGAGTCCATCGAACATGGTAGCACATAGACTAAATTACCAATGAGCTATCGAATATAGCTCTCGTTTACGACTCTCTGGGATTGGCTTCAGTAATCATTACCAGAGCTAAAATATTTATGCAAAGGTTACGGTTACTTCACTTCAAATTGATTGGCAGGAACCACTTCCTGGAAGGATAGCTCTTGAATGGCATAACTTTTGCTCAACGCTCCCTGTAATCGAAGATCTACGTATTCTGAGTTGCGTGTTAAGCAGCGATATAGAAAAAATAGTTATTCATGGATTTGCTGATAGCTCAGAGGCTGCATATAGATCTGCGGTTGACTTCAAGCTATTTTTTTTTTTTTTTAAACCTGTGTTCAGCCATCTTTTATGCAGTAAGTCGCGGATTGATCCAATCAAAACAATGACGATTATCAGACTTGAATGGTCAGGAAGCTTTTCTATACTTTTTTTTTTTTTTTTGGTCTAGAAATCTATTATCACTGAAATTACGATTTGACTAAGTTTATCTGTTGTCAGGCTCCACTATCATCCTTGCGTGGATTAAATATATCTCCTCATCGACTTGTAAGCAACAGAGTTTCAAGTACTTAGCAGGTCACCGAAAACTTCAAATGAGGTTATGTACCCTCGGAGAATGATCCAGCAGACATAATCTCATGTGGACTGGATGCTAGGGACATATCATTGAGCTCGATGTGGTAGCATGTTCCACAGTTTTTACAGCAAGAAGCTCTGGTTAGGGATGACAAGTTAACGGTTTTTATCTGAAGGAATTGAGACTTTCTGTCGCAATGTCCTTCTGTATTGATTTTAACTGTAGATAATGATAGTTAAAACAATCTCATGAACTTCATTAATAATTATTTGAAATTAATCAGAGTTTCCAGTTTAATTTTTAAGGTCATACATAATACAAGAAAGACAGCTGACTAGCACAGAGGACCACTAATGTCAGGAGAAATGAATAATGCTCAGGGTGTTCTAATAATCAGAGCTCAGGTAAATGTTTTGACTTCAGAAATTGTCTTCTTTCAAACAGGAACACTTGTCATGTCAAAAAGGAAGTTAAGATTTCTTAATCCCATTTTAGATAAAAACGGTGCCATCTGTGTTGGAGGACATTTGACTCAGTTAAATGTAATCTACAATCAGAAATATTGTATAGTTTTTCCAGCTGGCCACAAAGTAACGAAGATTATTATGGAATATTATAACAGGAAGTACCTCTAGGTAGGACGCAATTCCAGAACCAGAAGTTTTAGACAGACCAGATAGGTTGTGTAACGTTTATACGAGCCGGTTTCTCTTAGCATCAGTTAGGAAGTCTTCCACAAAAGCATCCCTCGTCTTAGACATATAGCCCTTGAGTGTGCTTTGCTATAATGAAATAAACCTAGCCTTAGTATGAAAAAACTGCTATTTCTGCTTGTAAAACTTGCTACTCATATCGTCACAAATTAATGAAAATATTAATCTGTTCAGAAACTTATCTTAATGCTGTCTTCTAATACGTGCAAGAGGGTTCACGTCGAAGCCAATCAGGAACGACAAAATTGCGCATGCGTAAATGTGTAGCTGAATCAGCGAAATCGTCGATCGAATGTCATTTAGTGTTTGCTGCGCAGTGATGGGTCGTTTCTTATATCATGGCATAAAGTTGAAAACTTAGAACTGTTAGGAAAAGTCCTTAAACCATATTTTGTGACATAGCAGAGTTTGGCTACCTAGCAACAAAGCTCGGATTATACATCTTACGACAGAAAAGGAAAATGATAGTTCTAAGATAGCTACCTCATAGAAATTATCACTATTCTACAGATGCATCTTCCATTCTACAAAAATAAGTTCTTGTATCCTACAAAGAAAATTTCCTGTTTGTCTACAGTAATAATGTTTTGAACTTCAATCCTTTTGTAATAATTTTCTCTTTGAAGTAACACAAAATTTTAAGATAATTTGTAAGATCGATATTACGAAATTACAGGTATTCCAAAATTATCTTTACAGTGTTGACCTTCCTCAAATCTTAAACGGAACAAGATTGCTTATTGTGCATCTAATATCATCTCATAAAGATGAACCAGGCTTACAAATTCAAGCACAACATACTGAAGAAAGCAGACCTTCGATATATGAATAACAAAAGAAATATATGGAAATTGGTAATATGCTTCATGGAAAGAGCTTTAGCAAGTTAAGCGATAGTGAAAAGGGTAACAGTTAATTAGTGTTTGCAACAAATGTGTAGCTGAACATTTTTATGAAACGCTCTTACCAGTCTCAATAAAAGTTTCGCGAAGGTAACATACTGAAATGCCTGAATAGCGGGTTATTATTATTATTATTTACATGTTCCCCCTAAGACAATACACAGAAGGGAGGGATGCTTTCGTGGAGGAATTTCTAGGCAGAAGTAGCTCGTATTAACATGTTACACATGGGGAAAACCACGGAATAAATAGTGGATGTCTTCAATATTTTGTATGGACGTTGTTTGAAACTTGCATGTATTTTACATCTTCTCTGTAAATCATGCCTACTTAGCTATTTTCGTATGGAGTAGCTATCACGAGTTATGAATCATATAGGGGTGGTACCTGAAAGAAATCTTTTGAGCACAAATGAAATTAATATTGAAATGGTATTACATGCATAAAATATAAAATTTTGCTGTCTTAGTTCGCATAGATTTAATAAGGAATTGAAATTCTAAAAATAATTTGGAAATATTCTGTATATCATCTCAATTTCAAGGTCTTTCCCATTATAAAATGTAGGCCATAAGTTTGAAGTATGCTTGACGTAACAATATAAAAATGAATACATATCGATAGTATCAAAATCTTCCAAGAAACTGAAATGAAGTGGCATAGTCCTTATGAGAAACATTCTGCTCTTGTGCATTAAAAAACAAATTTAACATAAAAGCCGCTCATAGCGTTGCTTCCATCGACAAAGATTTTTAAAGAATATGCCACAACATGAACGATTTTTTATATGCTGGAAACTGAAAGAGGGAAGTATTGTTGTTGGTAATTTTACTTCGGTGAGTACAAATCTAATTCATCTTATATTTCTTAATCATAAGAAATTTCACGCTGTGGTGTAAATTGGCTTGTAACATAGGTAAAAATCAGCGTGTAACTCAGCCGAATTAAAGTATCATAGCTTTTATACTGAAACAAATTTTTTCCGTCTGGTTTAATGTTTAGGTTCTTAAGTATCAACTTTCAATTTTCAAAGCCAGTGATAGCGAAAATATTCGAAGTGGTCGATTGAGTACTTGCAAACAACGAAGTGATCTAATTAATGTCAAAATGAATTGAACAAACCTCTTCGTGATAGGAATTCGTCCTCCTAAAGAAAGCTTTTTTATGTAACATAGATAGATCAATTTGTGTAACTTGTAACAGACTAGATTTAAGATTTTTGATATTTTAATCAGAAGTTTTGAATTTTGGTAATTTACCTACGTTTCCTTTCAAAAGGGCTTTGTTAATCACCAGTGTTTCATAACGAATAAAAGTTGTTATTTCTACTATACGCTTAACAATAAATTTGCATGCTTAAATATACAAAAACATCATAAACATGCGTAATCAAGTGATTCATATGACCAACTACCTTATAAAGTTTGGCTTCGCTATATTTAAAAATAACAGATTATTCGATTTATTTTCGTTTTGTAACTGCTATATATCTGGTGTTAATTTTAATTAATTCGCATATTGTTTTACGATTATATTATTTACAAAGATAGGAGGTTATTAATGATGGCAATTTAATAAAAATTTCGCGTTTTCCAATATTCGCAGTGTTGATGCATTTATTGTTTTTATAATTCAAGCAGGTTCACTTTCATCACTTTTAAGTGGGATTCCGTTCTGGATAATCGTACGTTGTAGATTTAATACATACTATTATTTAAACTGTAGTATATCAAGAAAATGGTACAAATGGTTATATTTTGTTAATTGTTGTTTTTCTCCAGTTTTATTTTTCACATTAGTGTTTGAAAGTTAACAAGCACTCACAAATTATTTGGCTTTTCTGGACAATCTGGAAATTTTAACCTGTATCAGCATCCGATTTTCAGAACTCAAACACCAAACATTTTCCTTCTTTGTTGTTTCAGATTTATTGCAATGAATAAATAGTTTTATCCGAAAATTAGTTTTGAGCCAAAATTTAGGTTATTTTAATGGTAATTTCGGAATTACAGCCGACGTAATCAAAGTAGGAAAGGCCTGTATTAAATCACAATTTACGAAAGATCGCAGGTGAAATGACCAGTTTTAATTTTCAATGCTGTATCTCATAGTGTCAAAGGACTGCAAAGATGAACAGTCCAAATATCAGCTGTGAAAGAAGTTTTAAATGATTCCAGACTTGTATCTTTGTATTTGAGAAAAGAACAACGCAAACAAATGTTGCGTTGTTAAATGTTTTCATTTTTCCATACAGTACATCGTAATCGTCTGCTTTTATGAATGTTTAATGCTTTTGATGCTGAAAATTTCTAAGTTAGATAAATTAATCATTAATGAATTACAAAATAATTAGTAATACATGTTTAAAATGAATGAATTAGCTTTTTTACATACTTTTCGAATTATTAAAATAGTTTAATATTTTTTAAATCAAACATAGATTTTTTAAAAGAAATTAAATATTTTATCAAAATATTTCTCTAAAGGGGCATTTTGAAAATTTGTCTTCAAAACTGCAGTCCTCAAAAGATTAAATATAATTTTATAGGCTTTAAAAATAAAACCAAATACATGTGCTTGTGTTTTTGTCGTGATTATTTCTATTTTTTCATAAATCAGTTAATTTCTGAGCTTGAAGCTTCGAAGGCTTAAGTGGTTTAAATGTGAATCACTTCAGTTTGCTTTTAATTTAAATGATCAGATCTATGCTATATGTATTGTATTTTTCAGAAATTTGATGAGAGTAGTCATATGTGCTATATTTTTCATATAATGATCATTAAGAAAAAAAAAAACTTCTCTTAAAATCCTTTCATTAAAGTATTCGACTACCTTACGAATAGTAACAACTAAAATCAAAAGAAAAACCTTTAGAAAAAATATTTTCAAGGTGTTACGAATCTTTTTTTTTTTTTTTTTTTTTTTGTTGTTGTTATGAATTGGTTTATAAATATTTTAGGAACCCGAATTTCAGACATAGCTTTAAAAACTGGTTTGACAATAATATATTTAATAAGATACTGAATTTTGTTTCACAAAGTACTAGAATTTACACCAATATTTAAAAGTGTTATCCGTTTCAGGTTATTTCCATGATAGCGTGCGCTCTTGCATTCTGCGTGTTCTTTAGAACTTCTCAAAAAGATGATGGCCGTAAGTTTTTGTTTTTAAACAGCTATAGGCTTAATTTACAGCTAATGTTTCATAACATACTCACCTTATTATCCATTATTTGCAATGGTAGGTAAACTGTATTTTTATGTTTCTTACATTTATTAAATAACCTAGAATATGCTGCTAAACTCAAGTTAAGCAAAACATTTCACAAACAAGTTGAATGATAATTTCAACAAGCAAGTTTAATTATAAATTATGCAATCAAAACTAATGTAAATAAATGAAAAATAATAACTAAGTTAATTAAAAATAATAAGCAACTGAGTTCCTTAAAAATCATATTGCATGCAAAATGTGCTAGATACCTAGGCACAGAACTTATCAACATTAAAGACGTTTTCCCATTGGGTCATGCGTATAAAATTATTGTAAACAAGTAGAACGTTTGTAAAGGAAACTACAAAATGTTTTTAATTTCCTCGTAATAAATAATTTTAATCTCAAATTTTCGGTCTTTTAATCGTAAGTTTTTTAATCTCATGTTTAGAAATTAGAAATTTAAATTAAATAAATTAGAATAAAGAAAAAATAACAGCCTAAAAATGATTGAAGTTCAAAAGTTGCAGCTCATAAAATAATTATCTGAATCAGCTTAAACGCGAAACAGAAGAATAAAATGGAATTTATATGCGATATTTATAAAAGCATTTAGTGTTAATTTTCTTAATACAATTCAATAGCAGTCGAGCGGGAAATCAGTGAACACGGACTCGGGATTAAACCTCGGGAACAGGCTAGCTGCATTTTTCCATGCATAACTTGAATAGGAGGCGGTTTCTTTTAAAAAGCCCTCAACGATCCCTATTCTTAGGCAAGTAGGTGCTTCCTATGATGGATATAATCCAATCACCAGATTTTACTTTCCTTAAGGGAATCCCTGTGAAGGTCTTTTTAAAGGAAACTGGTTCGTATCCACCCTATACACATGGTGAAAACCTCGAAAACACCCATGCAACCAGCCCGTTCGCAGGGACTCAAACGCCGAATCAAACTACCAGCTTCAACAGCTTTTTCCGCTTGGGAGCTGGTGGGCCGGTCACGTAATTTAAACCGATAAATTCCGGTAATTCGACTGGAATTCGAATCCCGGTGTGTAGACTGACTGCTCGGGCGTTTTGCGGTTTCATTTGTGTGAAACTATTTTCCATTAAGAAATTCTCCATGAAAATTCTTTCGGAATGAATAGGTCATGTGGTTAAGAACAAGTGTTTATCGCTTTGTCTTTAGATGGTATTTCGTTCTTGTAATTATTGTTCATGCATATCAATGGCCAAATGACTAAAAAAAAACAAGGCTGAGTACTGGTAGTTCGCATCAGGTATTGTTTCCGGCAAATGTTCTAAATGCGACAGGCTTTTATGGTATATCTGACTTATGTTTCACATGAATATAAGCAAATTTATCTTAAAACGTTATCTCAGTGCAAAATTCTCATATCATTTACTGCAACGGAACTGATTTACCTGCTACCCAAACTTTCACGTAAGACTTTTTACCACAATTTTGATAGCTTTTATAGCAATCTTAATGCCTGTTAATGAACAAAAAACGAAATTAAGTAAAAAAAATAACTTCCATGATGTTTTATGAGAAGCACTTTTCCGCCATACTAATTGATTTATGATCAAAATTTTGACTTAAAAATATTTTCGAGATTTGTTCTTTTTTTATATAAGTATATGAATCCTATACATGGAAGGCAGTATTCTGATATTTTTAAAACGCATTTCAAATTTTCAATCTCTCATATGGGTAGCAGCTGGATACTTATATACTGATATAACCTGATGAGGTACATTTCCCTATTTTTAAAATAAAAATTTCTCAGATTTCTTAATTGCAGATCGAATTAACTACACCTTGGGTATTCATATCAGCAGAAGTTATTATAAACTGTCGTTTTTGCGTCCTTCTTAATTTTTTTTTTTTTTTGTTTCTGTTTACAAGGTACTATGCGCCAAACAGTTTTGTAAGCAATGATACATGCGCCAAACAAAGCTGTGTCTGGGAATCTAGCTGCTCAGTCATCATTAAATGAGATGTTTTGTTGTTATCTTTTAAAAATGTTTTTCTTACACAGTAAACATTGGCAATCAAATGTTTTTACTTTCTATTCCTGTCTTAGCTTACTGCAGTAATTAACCTAAGGTGCATGTATTTTTTTTTTTATGTTCAGAAAAAATCTTTTTAACAAAATGAACCGATGACTACAGTACGTATTGTAGCCAACGTTATCAAACTTGCTCATATATCTTTCTATAAAGAACAATTTGGCGCATTCGGTCCTATAACGAAAAAATTCTGTTGGTACTTACGTATTATCGCAACCAGGTTGGCGCTATTTGTAAGTTTGAGTAAAAAAGTATGAATAGAAAGAAAATGTACATTTATTAATTACAGATAATTTTTAATACAGTTTTTTATATTATTTTGTTTTAAAATATAAAATAGCAATTAAACGGTTTCGAATTTGAATAAGTTGCAGAATTATTTTTTCGGCGGAAATCTTTTGGCTATTGCTTTTAGCACTGATTGAAAACCGTATTCGCCATGTAACCATGTACACGTCGACTTATTTTTACTTAAAAAAACATCCCAGAATTGCACAAAAAATGGCATTGCGCACTCTTGACTTTATCCATGTACACTGCTATTTTCTCATAAATTACAAAAATTTGCACGAAAATGCAGGAAAATTTTGTGAATCTCCACATGCTCTTTTTACAAAACTACGTATAACACGTAGGGTTTCCGTAAGTAGGGTCGCCAAATTTGGCAATTTATGCGAATTTTGGCCTGGTTGCGTTAATACGTAAGTACCGTTCTGTTTTTCTCCTTCCAACTTGCAGATGCCTATTGTGATTTGGATAATTTATTGTAAAGTGTCAAAAACTTTTCGAAGGATTAAATTAAAACATTGTACTACAATGAGTCACTTACATGCTTAGTCAATGAGTCTCAGCCTACTTGCTATGTGCAGTATTTTCTAGGAAAGCCACTCGTATTTACGTAATACATAGGGCTCCACCAGCGGCCTAGCGGTGAAAACGCTGAACATGAGTAGTTCCGACCTGGTTTCGATTCCAGGCTAATGTGTTGGCTGCATAAGTGTTTTCGAGGGTTTCCCCATGTGTAGCGTGTATGTGAGCCAGTTTCCATTAGAAAGGTTCTCCATAAGGCATCCCTTCCCTTAGGCAGATAGCCCTAGTGTGCTTTACCATAATGAATTAAACCAAACCAAACCATAACACATGAAGTCTGATGGCGCAGTGGCTAGCACGTAGCGCAGCTGCACCACAGGTTCGGGGTTCGATCCCCGGGCTGGGCAAGGTTGATTCAGATTTTAATCCCTTGAGTTGGTCGATAAAATGAGTACCAAGTTCGCTTGGGGACTAAAAACCGGGGGGTACTGCGACAAGCTGACCACTTGCCCAGGGCATATGCTGACGCACTCCGGGGCTCAAGGTCAAGAAAGCAGATTTCGGGGCATTGCAGGCCGTGGCCCACTAGGGCTGTAGCACCTCTGATATGTATTTTTTTTAAACGATAATACATGGGAAAAAAACATGGAAACCTCATGCACCACTCAGTGCTTGAGAAAGAAAGCTATGAATATTAAATAATTATAAAATAAAGGTAAATGATCTTATTTATTCAAATACTGTTAAGATGCCTATTTCAAAAGGATAAATTCTTTAAGACGAAATTACATTAAGTTTCGTAAATTTCTTGTTTAGCTGTTGTGAGGTGGATTCTGTCTTTGAAATTTTTGAATGTAAAAATAAACGTTTGATTGTTTCCATACATTCAGCTAACTGGCTGCTTTTTGAAGCGAGACAGCTTTCTAACAGAAAAATGATTTTTGATCTCAGAAACATTAATACGGCATCCCTGAGAAAATATATTTGATGAAGATTAAACTCTTTTTCGGTACACTGTGAATCTGAGAACTATTTGATGCTCTTGAAAAGTGAACTGACCATTCACGTGTCTATTGTACATATTCTTGCAAAAGTATGTGAAATAACTATGTGAACATGTTTACTTAACTATGTGCTTTTTTTCTCGAGTAAGTTAAAAAGTAAAAATTTTAAACAAAAATGAAAATAATTTAGGTCAAAACTACTTTAATAAGAAAGATTGTGAGGAATTATTTTCCCATGTGGAGAAATGCTATACATGAGAAACTTGTTTAAGCAGAAAATACTGAACTTAAAGCATGAGTGAATGCGGGCACATAAAATATATATTTTGAATATGAGAATTCTACAGGAGTTTTTTAAAACTGTTCAGTTTCAAATAACATTACTTCTTAGAAACCTACGCTTTATGAAGCATCAAACGCAGAACAGCAGAACTAATCTCAGTTTTGTACTAATTCTTTCCTTTGGAATGCATTTGTACGAGTGGCTTAAGATTTTCAGGTTTTTGGATACGAAAATGTCTAAATAAAATATAGCCAAATAAAAAAATCAGAGGGAATCTCGAAGAACAATAAAGATAATTCTACGACTTAAAGAGATTAAAATATATCAGATTTCAATAAAAATTTTCCTAATCACTGCAAACTTCCTAAAAGGTTTGAATTTTGCTAATGCTTGAGTTCAATGATGGCCTGAGTTCTGTAGTGGGTTTTCGTCAAAGTTGGCACAAACTAAAGAAAATCGTGAAAAGGATAGTAGTCAGTTATTGAAGATACGAAAAGTAGAGAATTTTAAAACGTTTCCTTGTTTTGGCTCAAAGAAGTGTTCTTAGCTTCCTTTCAAAACCACAGAATTGTTTGCTCAATTTAATGCAACAAAATTGATTGTTGAAATTTAGCACAACACTTTTTATTATTTTTCTCTTCAACTGCATGAATATAAACAATAAAAATATAGCATTTGCTAGGTAATAAATTCGCTGTATCAAAGTTTGCTTTCACTACAACCGTGTCGATAAACGCATAAAATTCGTTTAAAACAGATGTTATGTCT